GTTGTCATAGCTAGGAGATGAAGCAACCATTAACCCTTTTTTTTTTATAGCCGAAGCACACAGTAATCCCTCACTTTCCTGCTTGGACGGTTGGAGTGCAACAGCTTAAAAATGAGAGCAGCTCTTGCTTCTTTGCTTGGCCAGCCCTAGCTGCTATGCACAAAAAGGAGGAGATGGCGGCTGGAGATGTGTGGGTGAAGTTGAGAGCTCTCTGTATACGGCTAGGGCTAAAAAAATAATCGTGGAATCCCCAGCCAGCACCACTCCTCTAGGCCGGCCCTAAAACTCTTTAAAAAAAAAAACTGAAAATGAAAGCCCCTTTTTTTGGGCAAATTATTGGGTCAGGTGACCGAACGCAGAGACAGGTTCGGATAATAATAAAATATTATTTTAAAATTAGCGCAACTAAAGCGCAACTAAAGCGCAACCAAAGCGCAACTAAAGCGCAACCAAAGCGCAACCAAAGCGCAACTAAAGCGCAAGTCAAAAAGCGCAACTAAAGCGCAACCAAAGCGCAACTAAAGCGCAACCAAAGCGCAACTAAAGCGCAAGTCAAAAAGCGCAACTAAAGCGCAAGGTGACGCGGCAAATTTTTATTGGCTGTCCGAACTTATCTTTTGGCTCCGGTCACCTGACCCAATAATTTGCCCTTTTTTTGTGACCATCTAGCCCTTTAAAAATTAATCGCATGCATCATCGCATGGTTGATATCAAATGCCAGATTTTGAGAGGTTAAAGGGATGAAATTTATTTGAGTCTTGAGGGATATTTGAGCATCAAATTGTAACAAAAGGATGGATAAAACCATTAAAGTTTTGTTAGATTTATGCCTTAAATTAATTATTCAAAATCATTTAAAGATAATTAATGTTGACTAGATTTAAATTAAGCCAAGACATGTTAAATCAACTCAATCGAAGCCGTTGAAGTTAAACTTTCATCAAAATTAATTCAAATCATCTCGAATGCACTTGATTAAATTTGTTTGAAGAAAATTCAAAGGGTTTTGATTAATCTAGATTTCGCTCAACTCAAAATAATAATAAATTAACTCAACTTCACAATTGACGACGGTGTCGAGGAGAACCAAATTCAAAATGAGTCGAATTGAGGTCGACATCTTTCAACACGATTTATGTGAAAATATCAAAATCGATCAATTTGCTTATAGTTCAATGTTGATTTAAAGAAAGATCGACAAGATCGGTCGCGAGCTAAATTATAGACTAGATTGAATGACTGGCTGATTTGACGATGATCGATTGATTAGAGACTTGAGGTTGAACATTAAATGATTGAAATTTGATTGATTGGTGATTGATTGAAACATCGATTTCATATTATATATTGGTGGTAACTGACAGATTGAAATGTCGATTGAATGTCGGTGGAAGAGATGGGCTGAGTAATTAATTGAAGTGTAGACTGGGTAATCGAATTTGATAAAAGCTTGATTGATGCTTGATTGCAGGTTGAGTGGAAGATTGATTGGAAGTTGAATCAAGTATTTAAGTCTGGATTAAGCTAGAGATTGAATTGCCTAGGAGTCTAAGAAGGTTTGAAGTTTGAGTGGGTTTAAAGTCTGGATTGGTTTGAGGTTTGAATTGATTTGAAATCTGGATGGGTTTGAAATTTGAATAGATTGAAATTTGAATTGAGCATCTAGATTGGCTTGAGGTAAGGATTGATTTGAAGCTTAAATAGGTTTGAAATCTCTGTAGATTTGAGGTCTGGACTGACTTGAAATCAGGGTGATTTGATCTCTTGATTAGAATCCCAAAATCTAGGGAAATTCTAGGATCTAGGTGGCTCTATGGTATGGATTATATCATAAGGTCTAGATTGATCTAAGATCTAGGTAGACCCTAGGGCTTGAAGTCTGGAAGAATCCTAGGGTTTAGAGTGGATCTTAAGGTCTGGAGTCTAGGTGGTATAGTGACCTCGTACAAAAACGAGGTCAACAAGTAGGAAAGACAAATCTATGAGCAAGTATCAAGCAAAGAGAACTCGATGGCTGATCATTGCCCAAGAGATGCTTGCAAACTATGATAAGCTTTAGATCACCTAAAAGAGAAGGCGAATGAAATAAGAATGCGAAGAAGATTAACTCAATAGACGATTGATAATGGTGGGTCGACATGAGGGCTCCGTGGATATATGCATTCATGTAATTGGACATGAATGTGCGAAGGATGAAGGTACTTGCCCTGAGCGAAAGGAAAGAGGGAAAGTCGCTGTAATGGCTTCCTCCCTTTCACGAGGCAAGTGGTGAGTTACTTGGTTGGTGGGATCCTACAATACTTCACATGTTTTAATTATTGATTGCTCCAAATATATATTTCATATTTTTTATGCTAAAACATTTCATGTACAACATACATAGACCTGAGTCAAAAAAGCCAACTCAAAAAATTTTAACAATAAGTCTAATTAAATTTGTAACAAAAATCTATATTTTATTTTCATTAAGTCCTTTATATAATTAGGTTTATGTTAGCAAGAAAATCAATCACAAATTCACGATCGAGGATGAAAACTAAATACTTGAATTCTCTATTAAATTATACTATATGATCTGTTAAACTATAATATGAAATTAGTTATTTGATTAAATTATTTAAATTAACTTCAAGTGTAACTAATCATATTGTATAACCTGAGTTCGTATATGATAACCGTCTATTTTGAATAAACCCTATCATTGAATCTAAGTTACTAAATTTAGGCAATTTTTAAATTTTAATTTTAACCTAATCATACTATACGAAAGATTTCATAATTTACAATTATTAGTAAATCTTGCCTAATTTGGACCCTTGATCCAGCAATCATATTAGGATCAACTCTTCATTGGCAATCATATTATATAATCTAAATTATCCAGTATGATTTAATAAAATATTTGGTGGACAAACCTTAATGTATCATGGATGATCTTTGATTTAATATAAAGGATCGTACAACACTATAAATAATTGTACAATCTAATCTAATAGAACTAAAAAATGTGTGTTTAACAAACTAAACAATATGATACACACTTCATACTATATGATCAATAAAATGGAATCGAAAATGAGGGTTTGATTTAAAATGTCCAATTTAATTCTTTTCATAATATGAGAGGAGATGCAAGTGAGGGATTCAAGAGTAGCCTGAGATGGGTTTTCCTATGAGAGAGAGCTGGTTAAAGAGGGAGAAGTGTTTACTTACTTGTGAGAGTGTCCAAATTACTTGGAAGAGATATAAGGTGAGGTTGAGAGACAATCCTTAAGGGAGTCAAGGAGTGTATGAGAGATTCACCCGATCATCCTGCACCTTGGATCCTCCATGATGTGATTTTGGACTATTGAAGAGAAGCTCTAGGGAAGAAGTCTTAAGGCAAAATACATGTAACTAGCCAAGGAGGCTAGGGGGGTGGCATCTCCATCATTACAAAAATACAGGAGCAATATCTTCACCATTGCGAAGAGCATAAAGAGGGAGCGACATCACCTCCATTATGATTTGGAAAAGGAAGGTTTAGGCTTTCAAGAGGAAGAGCTTTGTGAAGTTTATCCTCCATCGCGTAAGAGAGAAGGGCTTCTTATTCTAAGTGCAGGAGCTTTTATTAGAAGAATTCCAAAAGAGAACCTATAGAGAGTAAACGAGGTAAAATTCAACCGAACCACTATAAAATTTTAATTGCACCTCTTATTTATGTCTGTGTTGAATTTTTATACAATTTTAAGACACTAAACCCTATATTTCTCCACCACCAAGAATGTTCAAAGATGCAACAATTTTTAATATATACTCCTTAAGATTTTGAAATAACTCAATTTATCCCACTTAGAGAATACACTATTATTGCTCCGTTTCGAAATCTCGTTAAGGAAGAAATTACCTCAATAGCAAAAAAAAATCAAATTTAGAAATTTTGAACAAAATATTCTCCACATTAAAATTCTAAACCTTAAAAATTAAAGAACAATATTTCAAAATAACATTTTCACAACTCTCCCACTTTATTTATTCGCTTCGCATTCCTTCACCATGTAACAATATAAATATATAAATATATGATGTTTAGACTAGATTGTTCAAAAACTCAAGATATAGAGTTGATGGCAATGATGGCTTAACCTTGTGAAGAACAAAAATACATTCCTTGAATGAAAAGCTTCTGGATCAGCAAGTTGCACCATTATTAAAATCTAATCGACTTTTCTAGTATGCCGATTCTATAAGAGAGTGACCCAAAAACTTTTTGCGAATAGATATAAATGAGTAAGCTAAAGAAAGGATTTAGTAAAATAACTCAAAAGCTCTATTTGTTCAGGATCAATTAATAGGCCAATTAAAAGATGTAAAATGCTCTTCTCCACTCTTTATTTAAAAAACTACAAAGAAAAATAAAAAATACAATCCTACACAAACTACCCTAGATGTGTTGCCTCTTGATTACCTTAGGAAGAGGGAGAATTATAAAGCTCTAATGATCTATCTCCATGCAAGCTCAATGGTGTCCAATTTGTATTGACCAAGCTTGGTCAATATTATCGAGCAAGTACTAATGAGTTCAGATGCATCAAGTAGGAGAGACAAATCTATAAGCAAGTATTAAGCAAAGGGAACTCGATGGTTTAGCATTGTCTAGGAGACGCTAGCAAACTATGATGAGCCTTAGATCACATAGAAGAGAAGGCAAATAAAATCGGAATATGAAGAAGATTAACTCAATAGGCGATCGATAATGGTGTTTCGACTTGAGGACTCCTTCAATATGTACATTCCTATAATTGGACATGGATTTGCGAAGGATGAAGGTACTTGCCCTAAGCTAAAGGCAAGTGGGCAAGTCACTGTAATGGCTTCCTCCAATTCACGAGGAAGTGAACCCTTATGTTCCAGGGGCAAGCTATGTTGTGGGGCCCATTCGATGCAATTCCTCTTCTCATAACCCATCAACTACTTGCTAGATACTATCGAAGGCATATGTGATTATACATGAACCTCGCTAGAAAAAAGTTTAATTTCGTTCTAATTAAAATATAGGTAAATGTTATAGCTATCATGCATATGAGGTTACAGAACTAAAATCATCAGTCTATAGATCCGGACCAAATAGGCAAAGCCTAATTACTATTAACATAATTTTCTTAAATCATCAAGCATTAGTAGTCCCTGCCTTAAAGCCCGAACTAGTTCTAAACAACCACATTTCATAATTTGCATCAACTAAAAGCTACATGCAGATGTGAAAGAACACTAAAGACCAAACAGATGCATCATGATGGCATTTTGAGCATGCATGCGATTCTCAGCCTGTGTAAACACGATGGAGTTGGGAGCTTCAATGACACCGTCTGTAACCTCGAATCCTCTCTCAGCTGGGAGGCAATGCATGAAATAAGCCTTCGAGCCTGCCAGTTCCATCATAGCTTCATCAACCTATAAAAGAAAATGTAAGAACAGATGGCAATAAATTACTTAGACTTCGTTCGAGAGAGCTTATTCTTTCCTGCATATACTTTAAAATGCTTTTTCAAAAAGCACTTTTTCAAAGAGAAATTTTGAAAAAACTATATAAAAACTGTCATCCAATTTACATTTTTTTAATTGACTGCTTCACCTAACACAGAAGCAATCGAAAAACTATCCCAAATGATGCCTCACGAGATTCAAGCTCGAGCGATGAAAGTTGGATGACACTTAAAAATCTTCATTGAGAAAATAATATGTTTGAAATAATTTTAAGAAGTTAATAGTTCTACTGTTTTGCTGGACATATATTCTTATGGAAATGATAAATAATAAAAACACAAGGATAATTAACATGATTGAGACAGAGAAATTCTATAAATAGCGGATGTAAATGTAAATCGGAGATGATCTTAAGATATTATACCATACCAAAGAAGAAAACTTGTAAAGATGCTCGAGCATTCTCAATGAATAACATGATCGCAGCAGTTATTCTCTTCACAAATTTATCTGCTGTCTATAGCCGAAGTAAATATGGTTTAAAAGAAGTATTCTTGATTGGATATTCCATGCTAAATGAACTCCTCTCCATCGTTTTGGGAGAAAAGAAATGCAACTGAAAAAAATGCTAACAAATTGATGTCTGAGAACAGTAGTCATATGGTACCTGGAAGCTTTGAAATTTTTGCCTTCTAAAAGAAACCTGTTCCTTTTGACCCATGCTAGCCCATACGTCTGAATAGACTACATCAGCTCCCTCAACTGCTTCCCTTGGATTATCAGTTAACACGATCTTGCTGATACCAGCACTCCTTGCCTTCTCAACAGTTTTCTCATCAGGTTCAAATCCTTTAGGACAAGCGCACACAAAGTGAAGTGGGACAACAGATGCTAGCAGTAACCATGAATGCACAATATTGTTTCCATCCCCAACATAGACGATCTGTGATATAGAATAAGGATGTAAGCTTTAAAGTATCATATAGTTAAAAAAAAGATCTAATCATTATCATTATTCTATGCATAAAATTAAGTTAGGTATTGTAGGGATGCTCAAGTGGATGAGTGGCTTCATTCTTAGGACATAATGTGAAACAAGTATATACGTGAAAATATTGGAGTAGCTCCAATGGTTGATAAGATTAGAGAGAGTTGTCTTAGAAGAATGGACATAAAACGTCAGCCTTTTGATGACCTAATTAGGAGAGTAAATGTATTGGACTTGGCCTATATTAAGAAAGGTAGGTGTAGACAAAAATAGTTGGCTAGAAAATATTAAAAAATGACTTTTCTTTATTAAATTTAAAAGAGAATTTGATTCTTAACATAACAAAATGTGAAAAATGATTCATATAGCCGACCCAACGTAATGGGATAAAGGCTTGACATTGTTGCAAGAGCATTATAAAATAAGAGAAGATTTTAAATTATTCTTAAAAATTTGATAAATCAATAAATGACATTATTATCTTCATCATGCTAACACTAAAAGTGCATCTTTTTAATAAAAATTACATGCTTGGTAGAGAAAATCAAAGCGAATTCAATATTTTTCTCAGTGAGAGATGGCACCTCCTTTAAGTTCAAAATCAACTTGGGATTACACCATTAAATAAAATTTTGGCCCTTTTAAAATATTTTTTTTTGGGTCCTTAAAATATGATTTAAATAAAAGAAATACACAAAGAAGTATTAATGAAAGAGATTCAAATTCATATTGGGAGCCTTCTTGTATGACAAATTTTGGCTAAACAATTACACAAAAGAAAATTTAATAGAAGAAATTTAAAATTCAAATTAAATAAGGTATCACCAAGCCATGACAATAGCACTTTAAAATTTAAATGCAAGAAGTATATGACCAAGCCCATAAGAATATTTCTTGATTATTTATTTCATGTCATCATCATTAAATGACTATAGTTATGTGATAGCATTATCTTAAAAAATAAAATGGACGAATTATGCAAAGTGCCTTTACATTTTTCTTAGAGGTAGGACTGGTGGATTTCTCATATATGGATCTTTTGTAAATTTCCTATAGAATGATATTTTGTGTTTTGTTTCAATAATGAGCAAATAATGTTTACCCTTTTTTCCATGACTTGCATTTCTTTATTAATTCGTTCATAATGATGATATATTCTCTCTCCACTAATTCATTAACTAAATATTTAGGCTTGGATTCCATCCAATATTCAGCCTCATTTTGGTTGAAGTTTCCAACATTCATATGTTGGTAAATGGCTCTTCATGGAATATTTAGGTATTTCATGATTATGAATAAAAAAATAACTATGGCTTCACTACCATAGTCAACTCTCCATAAATAATATCAGTGAGACTTTAACCCCTCATCCTCTCATCCCATCATTATCACCTTCCATCCTTTATCATTTTGGTGTCTGAGCTAAAGTGGATGCATATCATTGGATGTGAGAATAACTCTATGCCTTTCTTAGTTTGTCAATAGTTGTTTCTTATTTTAGCTTTAACTCCTCACTAACTTCTATTTAATCTACAATTTAAATATTTTCCAAAATAACCTCTTTAGGAAGTTAGAGGCTTCTGGCTTCCTATATTACTTAGTGGTTTGCTGATTTAGACAAGTCCATTTTGTAAAACCTATTAGATTAAAATATATTCTTTCTTGGATCAAGAAGTAATCACGCCACTTTAAGATTTACATAGTTGTATTTTACTTTTCTAGATTATCTTTATTTTAAAATAGAAAATAATATGTTCCTTTTGACTTAAGACCAAAGAATCCAAGGATCCAAGAACTAAATCAGCCCACCATCAAACAATTTAACACTCATGAAGACAAGTTCTTGAAGATGAGAGTTGATATCAAATAAAGATGCAAGTTTCAAGATGTGATATCAAAAGAAAGGGTCCAATAATTATTATTCTATGAGCTTTTCAAAGCAACATAAGATTTTAAATTGTTTTCAAAAGTTTGGGATGTAATAGAAAAAGTGGCATTATTGTCTACAAAAAGGTTGCACTAAAACTGCATGTTTTTGGATAGAAATTACATGCTTGGCCAAGCCTATCAAAGGGGAATCAAAGAAAATTCAGCATTTTTCTCTCCATAATAGGTGGAGCCACCTTCAATTTCAATATCAAGTTGGAACACCTCCATATGATAAAATTTGGTCAACCCTAGAAGGCTTAAATTAAGGAATTCTATCCCTAAACCCTAAACTTTAAATTAACAAACAAACTTATTAAGGAGCAAAAGAATTTCAAGCCATACTTTAGTGCCTTAACCCATGTTGGATTTATGTATATCTTTGTATGCTTCCCTTTACTACACATGAGGTATATGGGCTGGACTACCTTGAGCTGCAGGATTAAGTGTCATAAGGAGGCCTGGTTTCTTGAGCCCACTGTGACAACGTCACGTACCTCATAAGTTAAGGGGAAAGAATATGAAGATCTACATAAATTATTCCTCTTTAAAAATTTGACTCCACCCTTATTAGCTTAACCACCCAGCTGTTAAACCTTAGGTCAGGTAAAACCTATAAATCTATAGGTAGTGAGTCTTTCTATTCTCCTGTCAGCCTTTAAAAATAAATTTACCTTAGATATAGGAAGTTTATGATTTTCTTTTTATGGTGGGAAATAAGCTCATCTTAGTGACGTCACCTATCAGCCTTACCTCAAGTATTAGATTATCAAAGGATGATTAATCGACCCTTGCCACCTTACAATTATTTTGGCCTTAATTAGGGGTAGGATTGAGAATGGGTCATTTGCCCCTCAAGTTTTTTAACCTTAATATAGGTTAGGGCCTAAGACTTTGAGCTCTTAATAATTTAATAATTAAAATTTTAATCCTAAAACTAAATGTTAATTAATTCACCATAAATGATTAAATATTTAAAGAGAAATTTGAGGGTTAATAAATTAAACAATAAGAACTTGAACTTTCCACCTAATTTGGGGTAGTTAGGTATGCTTTTTGCACACACTTAGATGATGAATAGGATATTTTTTCATAGGCATCTTCGGATAGAGTGTAGCAAGGATAACATTTTATAATTTCTTTCTTTTACATTTTGCACGTTTGATGATATGATGATTGTTTCTAGCTTGACTTATTTCTAGTTTCTTTCTTTTACCTTTTTATAGATTGTTGAGTGAGCACTTTCCTTTAAGTGGTTAAATTTTTTTTAGAGATATCTTCTGCAGGTGGCCGTGTTCCAAAAGGGTAATAAAAGAATGCTTAAATCATAAATTATAAATTCACTCTTTAATAGGTATTACAAGGAATGCTAAAAAGCCCTTGGGAATATGGCCCTAAGGATTAGGTTCTAAGTGATTTATATATGATTATTATAATTGTGTTAATATGTATTTTTTTGTAGGGGCTTAATGTAATTATTTATTTTAAAAATATAATTTGATTCAAAAGGTTGTGAAAGCTTATAAATGACATATTTTTAAGATAGTAGCAATCCAAAGTGAAAAGAAAGTCCCTTAAAAGAATTTATTCTCATTTGGATATCCTAGTAGATAACGAACCACGATGAGCTTAAAAGAAGAACTCAATGAAAGGGATACAAAGACGAAGTTAAAAAAAATGCCTCATTTTTCAGACTTGTGTCATTTCATAGGGATAGAATAGAATTTAAGGTTTAGGGTTGACCAAATTTTAAGCCTTCTAGGGTTGACAAACAAACTTATTAAAGGAGTCACATTAATATTTTTGGTTCAACTCAAATTTTAAAATAAAAAAAATAAAAATAAAAAATAAAGTAAAAAAAGCATTAATAGAAGAAATTTAAATTCAAATAGGAACTCCTTTAATCATAACAATTAGTCAGGCAAAATTTAAATTAAAGAGAAACAAAAAAGTAATAATGTAAGAAATTCAAAAATCAAATTTGCACTTCTTTGCTCATACTTTATGATGATGTTATCTTCACTCTCCATAAATCAAATTTCTTATATATTTAGGCTTGGCTTTTAGGCATTCCAGGGTCATCATTAGAAAATTAACATGACTTCACTCCATAAATCCACTTCCATCTGACATCTGCCCCTCAACCTTACATCCACCAACTCAACCTTCCATCTGTTGTCAGTTTCGTATTCTCACCTTCTCACCCCCTCCACCATCTTCAACCTTTATCAATCTGTGTATCATGTCTAACAATTCATAATATGCTATAGAATGATTGTTAACTACAGATCTAATAGATAATGAGACGTCTAGAAAGTTCAGAAGTTACTCGCCTTTGCTCCTTCCAGCTGACCAATGTGCTCAATTATTGTCAGTGCATCAGCCATTATCTGACAAGGGTGATTGTAGTCTGTCAGACCATTCACAACTGGGACTGAAGCAAACTTTCCAAGGTCAAGAATATCCTGCATTTGCATGGGAAGAATGCACTAGTAAAGTTTTATAGAACAAATAGCCAAAAACGTGACTGGCGAAGAAAAATATATGGTCAATTGAAGTGCTGGATCCACATCAAGAAAAACAACTTCATATTAATATGCGATGAAAATTGCACAATTCTTTATGATATTGTTGCAACTGTAAATACACAGATTTATGGATCATTTTAAACACTCGGATGTTACTTAGATAAACAATTAAGATTTCAAGGACACATATATGAATTTCCTTTTCATCTAGTTATGCAAAAAACCTCAAGAAGTTTAAATAGGTAAATGAAAAATTATAAAAAGCATGTATTGATTGAAAAAAAAAAAAATACAGCTTCTACTTAAGTAAACAAGAAAGGTTTCAATGATGCATATATAAATTCCCTTTTCATGTAGTTATGCAAAAAACCTCTAGCAGTTTAAACAGGTAAATTAAAAATTATAAAAAGCATAAAGTGATTGAAAAAAAACTGCTTCAAAATTTTTTTGCTTAAAGAAGAAAAATTTGCGAATGGATCTATGATAAGTGAAATTGTATTGAGTTTTATTTCTCACTGATTAAGTGTTTTAGTACATTTGGGGGCATGTACTCTCAGAATGTCAGCATACAGCAACTATTTGATTCACATGTCTATGCAGAATTGCATTATTTGATTCTCTTTCTATTTTATTACCATATATAATCATTAAATTATTATTGTAATGTTGGAACTTCAGTAGCAACTTTAGCATTGGTTAGTAGTTGGTTATGATTTTGTGATATAGTATTGTTATGAGATCAAATCCATCTGGGTGAACTAAACACAATGTATGTCATGTGCTTGGAAAAATGGCTCCTCAAGTTGTATGAACAAGGAATGATAATTCAAGCATTAAGGTGTTACCCCATTCAATGGAAGTCCTATGCAGCACAAGAGCCATGCGGTAAGACCCACAGTCACAGCCCCAACCTCCATATTTCAAGGCACCATGTTAAGCGCCACCTCCACTATGTTGGAATTGACGGCTAGAACTTTCCCTTCCATTGACTTTTGAATGATGTATTTGATGCTATAATGCACAAACACGGACACAAAGGCATGAACACGACACGGACACGAAATACGTCAATTATTAAAAAAATAGTACATGGATACTGATTAATACGGTATTATAATCTTTATATATTAAAAACAGTGCATAGAAATTGAGTAAATGGAATATTATGATTAACTGAAAAATAATAAATTTAATTAAAATTTATGCTTAAAATGATTAATATTCGGATGTCGAGAGTCGAGTGTCGATGCCGTATTTCAAGCATCGAGAGGGGAGATGACAATGTTGTCAAGAGACGGGCATCATGCATCGATGTCAAGACAATGTCGGTCATCTATGTTGAGATAATATTGGATAATGATGAGATGTCGAGACAGCACGTAGGTGTAATTATGGGGATAGAAAATGTTGGCATCAAACTTTTATTTTCAGATGATTTTTGATATATTGATATTGTGATGGCTTTGGACATTGATGTTGCGATGGCATCAAGTATTGTTGTGAAACCCTAGTTACGATCTGCCAGAGAAAAATGAAAATGGTATGTTTGAGGAATGGGGTATTAAGTGTAGGCATTTGATTTGGGGGTGTTGAGAGAAAATAAAAAAAAATATATTTTTTAAATAAATTAAAAGTTAATATATAAGAAATTACATTAAAAATTTTAAATATTTAAAGCAAACGTGCCCAATTTATTTTTAATAATTTTTAATCAGACACGTCTACGACATATCTGATACATATCGGATGTGTATCAGACACATGTGATCGATACATGTCAGACACTACATGCCTCATTGAGGAGAAGTGTCGGTACATCATAAATGTTATCATTTTAAAGTTGTAAAACTTGTGCATGAAGAATTTTAGCTATATTAAATTAAAAAAGTGTTCTTTTCAGAATCTTGAATGTCGGCTTGACCGTAAAGGTTGATAGTTGGGTGACTTCAACCGACATTGTTCCTTTGGTGAGGATGTGAGGTTTATATTATATTGATATATTTTGTGTGTTACTGTATTTCCATGTCCCTCAACACCTTCCCAAACCATCACCATCACCACTCCACACATCCAAAACTAGGCAAGCCATCCTCTCTGAGTTTTCCTTCCCATCCTAGGTCCTAGTCACCATTGAAATATCATAACAAACTCCTCCAGCCTCTCTACCATCTTCCCACATCTCCAATCACACCTCACACAACCCTCATTTAAACGATCTCCACTCCCTAAATCCACCAAATAATTAAACTAAGCCCTCTCATTCATGGACAACACCTTATTTCCCCTCAACATCTCCGACCATTCCTAATGGGCCCCAAGTACTCCCAAACTTGTATCCATTTCACAACCTGCAATCCCTCACCATACCCACCACTTTAAGCCTGCCGCCAAGTGTCTCCAACAATCTTAGAATCAGAGCCAAAACCTAAGAGAAGCAAAGAATACAAGGACTGCATCAAGGCTTCCCCAACGTAGCAACAAGCATAGAATTTATTTACTTCATTAGGTAAAACATGTCCTCTCATCTTTAAAATTCATTATTTAAATACAAATTAGTTTTTATTAATGTGTTTGATGATTATATGATGATTGGCATAAATATTGATCTATGTGGACCAATTAGCTAGTAGCACCATAAAACGTAGCAAACCCAAACAAAACTAACCCCAAATTATTTTTATTCTTGACTGCTGCATGTTATAAAATATGTGCTCCACAAAAATCCGTGACCTTACAACCCGTGAATGTCAGTATAAATATTAACATTTAAAGTATATTAACTTGTTGTTCTATTACATCAATTCGGCATGCTTATTGTTAATAGTGAGAAGTAGTTTTAATAATTTATCTGAAGGGAAAAAATTAATTTTTTCGCACTTCATTTCAATCAATTTGACATTGATCATCAATAAAAAAAAAAAAGTAATTTATTACCATTACATTTGTACCATGAAACAAAAGTCAACAAGCATTGATAAACTAGAGGATTTAACTAAAGTTTTTTGAAAAATTATCCACTAAATTCCATGATAGTAAACTTAGGAACTAAAAAGTTTTAGGACTGTAAAGGACCCCAATGCAAGATTTAAACCCAAAGGCAAGCCGTAATGAACCAAGTGCAGTAAATATCCCTTACTGTACAAGCACAACCTCTTGAGATAATATTCTAGCAAATGAAGTGAGATTAGTTAGGGAAACCGTTACAATGATTGAGATGGAGATGTTGATATTAAAACATTACCCAAAGCATCAAAATAAAGAGCTTTATGAAAAACTATTGACCTTATGACGAAGGAAATTATATGTGACAAACCAATTGAACACATATGATAACCTAGTTTCTAGGACCAATTGCACTTGCAATGATTGGCAATTTGCTTTTAAGTTTGTTAGAAACCTAGCCTATAACCCATAAGACTAAAGCTTTGACTTCAAACCAACCCCCACGCATTTTTGTATATGATAGACTCATAACCATTTTTTATCCACAAACTTACATCTTGACATATATTTTCATGTCGACACGACCACGATCGAGCCGATTCGAGCCCGACTAGGCTCGATCACACTTGATCAATTAGATCGAGTGTCGTCGAAGAAAAATTGATCCAAATCAAACCTCAATTTAATTTAATTTAATTTAATTCAAATCGATCCAAATCAAGCCTCGTCGAGCCAAATTCGACGCAATTCGGCGCTGATTCAATTTTAATTTCACAAAATTAACTTGATTGGACCCAAACCGACCCAAATGGGTTTGAGTCGAATTCGATTCTGGCTCAATTTCAGCCCTAATTGATGAAATCATGGCTAACTTGACTTCCCAAATCATATTCTCCAACCAACGGATCAGATTTCATCTAAAATCCCCCAAAAATCCTTTGTTTCTCACAAAAGGGAAGCCGATTGGGCTGATTGGCTAGCGGGGCCTGTTGGCCTCGTGGTCTCTAAGAGAACGCAAGGGAGAGGGAAAGCCATTTGGCTCTCCTGTTTTTATCCGTTCGCCCCATTCAAAGCGGGAGAGAGGAGAGGCAAAGAGAGGCGGAACTAGAGCCGGAACTCTGTCTGGCATGCGACCTCCATTCTGGCGACTCTCTTGTTCGTGTGGCCTCCCTCTCGCGTGTGGCCTCCTCTAGCATCTGACCTAGCCAAAGCCAAGCAGCCTAAGTCGCCCTTTCTTCTTCTTTCCCTGCATGTGCTCCCTTGCTGTTGTTTTCTTCTTCCTTGGACCGAAAGAGAGAAATACCTCTATGTTTTCCTCCATTTCTCCAAGTGGAAGAGCATAAACCTACTTTTTACCACTTCTCAAGCAAAAAAGGGGGAGTAATGGAGAATAGTAAAGATACTTGAAGGAGGAAAAATTCTTGGCTACTCAAAGCCTTTGATGTGTGGTTGACATCCCCAAGCCTTAGGCCCTTTAGAACCTTAATTTTTTCTTTCCCGAAATCCCATGCTCACTGGCCTGCTCGCAAAACAGCGAAAGTTTGGTGACTTTCACTTGTTTATTATCTTGTGAGAGTCAATGGGACACGCCGCACGCATAAGGTTGTTAGATTGGTGTTCGGCAACCTCCCAATGCATGTTCAAGCACTCATTTTGTGTCTAATAAATTTGCCTACAACCAAACCTTAGGCTAAGTATTGTCACTCAACCATATCTTGAATGACAATGTGTTGGGATTTTCACATATTGTAGCATGCACATCACTCTTAGCAAATCGTAAGTTATGACAAAATTAACTTAAAAGATTTGGGAAATTGCATCGTTAACATTTGTGATTTCGTCTGAACTTGTTGAATGTCATAAAAAATGAATTTAATTGAATTTGGAAGCTTGCAAACAAATAGTGGGGTCTTTCATGAGCCCTCATGTTCGTGTTTCAAATCCCATGATAAAAGAAATTATTTTGAATTCACTTTTGATTCGTCTTCAAATTT